TATTCTTGCCAGCACTTGGCATTGTTAGTTTTTCTAAATTTTAATTATTGTGTAAGTGTTGAAGTGGTAGCTCGCTGTGATTTTATTTTGCATTTCCCTAATGACTAACAATGTTGAGTATCTTTTCATATGCTCATTTACCACCCATCTCCTTTTTTTGGATTGACTATCACTGATTTGTATGAGTTCGTCGTATGCTCTAGATATTATTCCTTTACCAGACATGTGTTTTGACAGCATCTGTTTTAAGAAATTATAAGGATCTAAATCATACTGCTTTTCTTCCAAACCACTATCCTCTGTTCATATACCTTAATTATATATACCTTAATTAAAGGCATAGAAAAGACTTAAACTTTCAATTTACAACTACCTTAGTGTCATTTAGCAGAATACCAAGCAGCACTTGGTACCTGCTAAAATTCATGAAACTATTTCCATCTCCATTACAAGCACCCAACAACTTAGGGCTTTAAGAAAAGCTACATCTGGAGAAATGACTGTGCTATAAACAGCTTTTGACCCCCCAGGCTCTGCACCTCTCAAAGCCCTGTTCTGGTCCACCAGGCTGCTGGAATGGTCAACAGTCGTCACAGTCCATTGCTGGCCATTGTCCACTGGGAAAGGTAGGAGGCTCCCAATCCATCCCTCAGTGAAAGAGCAAATAGTAGGGCCTGTGGCTCCTTGGACATCAAAGTTGAGCAAACAGGCCTGGCAGGCCCTGCCTCTCCGCCTACACATCCTGCAAATGCCATCTGAAGGAGCTTCCCTGAGGAGGTCATGACTTTCAGCTTGTCATAGTACACATCAAAGTTTGCACCACACACGAACTGGGTGCATGGGTTCGAATCAAGTCGCCCGAGAGCGGATACTCAGCCATTGTGTTCAGTTTTAATCCTGTGTTTTCCCAAGTAATTAAGCCTTCTTGCTTATGAACTTGTGACTAAGTAAAGCATCACTGAGAGGTTGTAACATCAAAGTGCCTTCCACCGTCTGTCCATGTTTGGTAAAATTGGATTTCTTTCCCTTCTTAAAGAAAAACTAATTGAATTTAGCTGAAAGCTGTGTATATTTGCACGAGCTGGTGAAGGCTATGCTAAGTCACAGTGATCATCCTGGGACCCTGTGGCTTAGCCTTCAGCTAGGCTGGGTCAGAGTGCAACATAGAGACACCCAGACTCAGGCTAAACAAGTGCCTTGTGGCATGAGGCTTACAGAGGGCTCAGTGTGGAGAAGGGGGCAGACTGCTCTTTGCGTCAATACTACACTCAAGCTGTTACTAGGGCTGGCAAAGGGGCAGTCCCAGTAGAAAGTTGGTGAGGCTTCGGCAGAACGGCTACTGAAGACAAAGTCCCAACATAATACTCAAGTCCTTGATGTTAGCAGTTCAAGTTAGCTTTTTAAGCCAAAAGCTGTGACTGCTTATTCTCTGAATCCCCCCATAGCCCAGCACGCACAGTATAGTTTTTAAACATGTTTGGTGGATGCATGTAATGATAATACAAAGGGATGCAGGACAAAGTTTTTCTCTCCTGAAGAAACAAAACTTTCTGTATTCTTTTTATACCTTGCTCATCAGAAAGCTTCAATCTAAATTAATACTCAATTTTACTAATTACCTAATTTACAGTAACTACAGCATGGTCCCATTGATGTAAAATTATAAATGCATATACATACAATGATCAATCTCTAGATAGAGGGAATTCAGATGATTTACTTTCTCCTCTATATTATTTTTTAAAAATAATAAACCTATTTTCAGAGAAGAAATCCTCTGGTTCTATCCTGATATAATTATCTTTTCTTTAACCAATATGGTTTCTGATCTTGATCTAGTTTTAACTTTCCTGGGTATATTTATATTCGTATTTTAATTTAAGTTACCACAAATAAATTATAAATTAAATTCCTGTGCATATTTTTCAAATTTAGCACTATAGTTTTGTTATTTCCTATTCAAAACTAAATAAAATAACAAATACATATGACAATTAAGCTTATTAAGGACTGGCTCGGTGCCTGCAGCTCAGCAGCTAGGGCGCCAGACACATACACCAAAGTTGGCGGGTTCAAACCTATCCCAGGCCTGCCAAACAACAATGACAACTACAACCAAAAAATAGCTGGGCGTTGTGGCAGGCGCCTATAGTCCTAGCTACTTGGGAGGCTGAGGCAAGAGAATCACTTAAGACCAAGAGTTTGAGGTTGCTGTGAGCTGTGATGCCATGACACTCTACCAAGGGCAACATAGTGAGACTCTGTCTCAACAACAACATGAAAAGCTTATTAAGGATAGAGACTGTTTTATAATCTATATCCTTAAGGTCTTAATACATTAAGCAGGCACCTACAGGCAAAATGATTTGGCTACTCTGGAATGTCTCTCTTAAGCTCTTGGACTGCTAACACCCTAAAGAAGAAGGTTATCTGCTTTCAGCTTTGAATTAAGGGGTGCTGCCCCTTTATCTTCCTGTCATCCAAATCCAGTTCAAAGGTGCTGGCATTTCAGGCCTGGCCAATATGATTTCAGGAAGGTTGGTAATTGATTATATGAGAATCAGCACTTTTTTTTTTTTTAAGACAGAGTCTCAAGCTGTCACCCTGGGTACAGTTGTCGTGGTGTCATAGCTCATAGCAACCTCTAACTTAGGCTCAAGCAATCCTCTTGCCTCAGTTTTTGTATTTTTAGTAGAGACGGGATCTTGCTTTTGGTCAGGCTGGTCTCGAACTTGTGAGCTCAAACTCTCCACCTGCCTCAGCCTCCCAGAGTGCTAGGATTACAGGCATGAGCTACTGTGCCCAGCCAGCACATTTTTAATAAGGAGAAACTTTTTGGCAGATTGTGCTTGTATGGACATGATAATCCTTTCAGATTATTCACAGGGCACTCTACCAATGAGGCCTACTTGCCCTGACCAATGTATTCCTGGTACTCCCTTTTTAATAAGTTCTACTTTTCCTTTTGTCCAGGGTACTTCTGATCTTCTAATATACAGTTTATTTATCCATTATACTTGTTGTTCATTATTTGCCCATGCCTGTCTCTACACAGGGACCAGCATTAGTTTAGTACTAAGCTGTATGTGGGGAGGAATCTTTGTCTATCATTGATGTTATTTCAAATACATAGTACTGTACCTAGCAAATAGCAGGGGCCAAAGAAATTTGTGTAATGTGAATAAATAAATCCAAACTAAGGGTATGTCATTTTCAATAAAATCTTGTTCTCCCTGGATACTGGAAAGGAAAAGGAGGACATAAAATGGATGCTTCCTTAGTCCTAGGAACCTAAGTAAATACAAGCCAACAATTTCACTTTGCTCAGCAAGCATCACTGATTTGCTAATGGTCCTGCTAACGCACAAGAGCAGTTAAACCAACAATCCATTAGATTCAGAGAGAAGTGTCCCCAAAAGCACATCTACTAGCTGTCTGATCACTAATTGACAGTACTCAGTATAATGTTGTTTCCTATTCAATCTCAACGTTGAAATTACTACACATAGAAGGGAACACAGGCTGGCGCCTGTCGCTCAAGCGGCTAAGGCACCAGCTACATACACCAGAGCTAGTGGGTTCGAATCCAGCCTGGGCCTGCCAAACAACTATAACCAAAAAATAGCTGGGTGTTGTGGCAGGTGCCTGTAGTCCCAGCTACTTGGGGAGGCTGAGGCAAGAGAATCACTTAAGCCCGGGAGTTAGAGGTTGCTGTGAGCTGTGATGCCATGGCACTCTACCCAGGGTGACAGCTTGAGGCTCTGTCTCAAAAAAAAAAAAAAAAAAAAAAAAAAAAAGAAGGGAACACAGCTCCTCCTTTAGCATTGCTATTACTTGCAGATAGAAACACCTGCAAGCTAGGGAGGAAGACTGGTGGGTGGGGTGGTGTATTAGTGGTGTAGAATAAACACATGTATATTTGTGTATAAAGAGGTCTAATGGGAGCCTAGGGAATAACAACTCACGATTTATAACCTGTAGCATATATGTTATCTTACCTGAGTCTCAAAAGAATATGAAGAGAATTTACTCTGCTGCTAGACTAAGTCCTCTCACACCCTCTGCTGCAATAATAACCTGTACATACTGCTCTGACATCATTGATTACACTATGTTGTGTCTTTTCACCTGCATTTATTTTTCACATTGGACTATGAGCTCCCCAAGGTATTGGATTCTCCAAACACTAGCATAGGGCCGGGCTCAGAGCAAATATTTACTAAATGTTCATAGTAATTTCTGATGAAGAACTAGGGTCTCCATGGAGTTCTGAAATTCAATTAAGGCTCAGAACCAGAACTGGATTCTGGGTCTCTCAACCACAATGCCTATTTATATCAATTTTTCCTTTTAAAGAATTAAGTGGGCTCGGCACCTGTGGCTCAAGTGGCTAAGGCACCAACCACATACACTAAGTTGGTGGGTTTGAATCCAGCCTGGGCCACCAAACAACAATGACAGCTGCAACCGGAAAAAAAAAAAAATAGCCAGGCGTTGTGGCGGTCCCAGCTACTTGTGAGGCAGAGGCAGGAGACTTGCTTGAGCCCAGGAGTTGGAGGTTGCTGTGAGCTGTGATGCCACGGCACTCTACCAAGGGTGACAGCGTGAGGCTCTGTCTCAAAAAGAGGCAGGAGAATTGCTTGAGCCCAGGAGTTGGAGGTTGCTGTGAGCTGTGATGCCACGGCACTCTACCAAGGGTGACAGCGTGAGGCTCTGTCTCTAAAAAAAAAAAAAGAATTAAGTGGATGAAGCGAAAGAAGGCAAATAAGAAAACTGGGTGACCAAGATCAAGTTCACTATAAAGGAGAAGTATAGCTAAGTCTACCAGCCGACCTTTCTTCTGCACATCTCCTAACCAGTCCAAAGCACCAGGTGTAATCCAATACAACCTCCTGCCTCTGGAGAAGACAGCTAGAGGGAAGGCAAGTCTGAAAGAACATTCAGGAACATAGTCTGCAGAGATCTGCTCAGGGAGCCCTGTATGGAGGAAGATCTCTCACCTGTCATTTCGGCTGATGGCTGCCACCATGAGTGCTGTCCAGCCAAGTCTGTGCCTTGCATTGACATCTGCACCTTCTGATAACAGCCTAAAAAGAGAGGAATATTTTGAATGTATGGCTTATCATGAACATATGAATAGCAATAACCACAGAAGAAAAGACATAGTCAACAGACAGGTGGATGAGTCTGAAAATAGAGGCCTTTGAAAACTAAATCCTGAATCTCAGTTCCTCCATTAGCTTCCCCCAACCCAAGGCTTCCCCTATTGCTCTTCTTCCCTTAAATCCATCTGCATCTTGATGACTTCTGAGGAAACAGGCTCTCCTTATCGTAATATCCTTATACTCCCATTCCCTTGGTTGAGAATGCTCTTTTCCTGCCTCTTTGCCTATTTGAATCCTCCTCTCATGCTAGGTGATACAATCCTGGCTTAGGAACTCTCTCCCTCCTTGACTCATCCAGTCCACAGATCTCTCTTTCCTCCTTAATTTCCTAATGCCTTGTACAGAATGCCTAATGACACATCTTATCTAGGTAGTTCTCAGTTTATAAAATGATTACATTCCTGTATTGTGGCTGTTTAGAAACTGGAAATTCTTTAAGCCAAGGAAAGATGGAAATAACATTAAAAAAAAATCGGTTAAGTTCCTAGAAGAGTCCACATGGACCCTAACTCAACCTATATGCCAGTGCCTAACACACAGTAAGAATGCAATTGTTGCTAAATACATTAACAAACATAGAGTTTAACACAGACCTCTAAAAGTCTGAATTCTGGGCCCCAGGGATAGGGGCCCTCTACAATGTGGGGTAGATAGAAAGTGAGTAAACAGAACCAATTTTTACTAAGTACCTTCTACAAGCAGGAGCTGCCCTAAGTATTTTACATTTGTGTGTCCATTTACTTTTATACCACCTAAGGACATGGCAGTAATCTCCTCTTTCCATGGATGTACTAATAGGCTCAGTGAGGAGAAATGACTTCCTTAACCTCACACAGCTAGTTAAGTGACAGGTGGTGCAGTGACTGGAACCCAAGTTGATAGTAACTCTAAAGCTGGGGTCCTTCTGAACTCACCATCCTGCCTCTAGACCAGCGGTTCTCAACCTGTGGGTTGCGACCCCTTTGTAACAATGAAAATATATCCTGCATATCACATATTTACATAACGATTCATAACAGTAGCAAAATTACAGTTATGAAGTAGCAATGAAAATAATTTTATGGTTGGGGGTCACCACAACGTAAGGAACTGTATTAAAGGGGCGTGGCACTAGGAGGCATTAGGAAGGTTGAGAACCACTGCTCTAAACAGAACATGGCTTCCGGTAATGTGAAAGACAAAGACTAAATTGATTTCAGCAAATCAATATGCCATGTGCTTGCTCCTGTGTTAGACTCAGGATGGGTGTGCGGAAAAGACATGGGATTCATTCTAGGGAAGCACACAATTTAGTGGAGGGAGGATTCAGAACAGCATGAAATCAAAGACAATAGTGCCAGGAAACAGGGAGACCAAAAGCTGAGTGTGATTTGCCAGCTAAGCAGGACCTCCTTATGAGGAAAGGGCAGAGGAGCTTTGGGGAACCAGGAAGCTACTTTTTACTGGGTTCTAGGTGAACAGACACTGGGCAGAGTCCAAAGGCTTGAGTTTGAGTCCTCACACCATTCTGTGTCACGATCTGTAGTAAATCCTCTTATGGGCCAAGCCAAATAAAATCTCTATTTGCTGAAGTAAGAAGTTAATTAGGGCTTGGGAGGATGACGAGAACGTACTAATTGATGTGTCTCTCTAACTGCCAAAGGCACTGTCAAAGTCTGAGAGAGAGACAAACCACCAAGCACAGAACTACACGTTCCATGACAGTTACGAACACAGGTTGTAGGGCACAAAGGAACCTGACCCAGTCTCAGTGACCAGAGGATGTTGAGCAAGGAGATCAGGAAACTTTCATCTCTAACCTCTCCTTTGTAGGATTTCTTCTGGTAAAATTCTGGAGCCTCTTGCTACGTACAATGTTAACCTTCTTTTATGCAGAAACAATTTTCTATGACCAAGAATATTAAAGAGGCTAAGAACCCTTTTTCTTTTTTCTTTTTTTTTTTTTTTTTTGTGGAGACAGAGTCTCACTTTGTCATCCTTGGTAGAGTGCTGTGCTGTCACAGCTCACAACAACCTCCAGCTCCTGGGCTTAGGCGACTGTCTTGCCTCAGCCTTCCGAGTATCTGGGACTACAGGTGCCTGCCACAATGCCCAGCTATTTTTTTTGTTGCAGTTTGGCCAGGGCCAGGTTTGAACCCGCCACCTTCGGTATATGGGGACGGCACCCAACCCACTGAGGCATAGGCGCCACCAGAACGTACTTCTTAATGTACGTTACAAAACCTTCTCATTTACCAGGCTATGTGATACAAAGAAAACACATGGTTCTAAGAATTATGAGTCTAGAATTGTGACCCTAACTGTGATTCTGAGGAGATCGGCCTCATTTTTCTGGTCCTCAGTCCAGAAAGACTAGAAACTCAGGCTTCCGAGGGAACAGACTTGAGCTGTGTCTTGAAGAAACAGGAAGAATTTGAGAAGTGGAAGAAAGTATGTGCCAGTCAAGGCAAAAGAAACAGGATATGATTGTGAAGCAGGAAAGGAACATTCAGAGACCATCAAGCAGATCCATCTGGGTGACAGTTCGCAACAGAGGAACAGACAACTGCTGAGGTATGCATGGCCAATACAGGGCCTCAAATGCCAGACTCAGAGGTCAAGGCAGAGTAATCTTTTTTGAATGCTCAAATTTTGAGAGTGTGATTGAATTTCTCTCTGGAAAAGTGCATTGGAGCTCACATATCTCAAAACTTTTTTTGCATATAATATCCAGGGTTCACAACCCCCATGAAATCAGTAATGGACACTTGGATAAAAAATTAGCTAAAAGTTGACAGATCTCTGGCATGCGTACTACTGCCCCACACTCCCATGTCTAGGACAGATACCATGAATCTCTTCCAGCAGCAATTTTTTAGAAAGCCTTTGAAAGAGCCTCAGAATCACAGGTTCTAATCAGCCACCATTCATCTACGGAGTCTGGCAACAGAGAGAAAACTTACTTGCCATTCCTTAGCCTCTCAGCAAAGACAGTATGAGTTGTCATTCAAGGATGTGGAGCAAAAGGAATTATAAAATTAGCCTAGATAGCTTAAGCAAGCTGAAGTTGAAAAGGCGAAAAACACAAAATGGGGATAAGGGAACCAGTCTAGGTAAGGGAACCTAGACTGCTATACAGACCCAGGGATAGAAGCTTAAGCTTGGGCAGAGAAATGAGAACACAGGGCATGTAGCCAGAAGAAACTCAGTGCCACCAGAATACCTCCTGCCTCCAGTGAATCAATGATCCATGTTTCCCTGCCTATGCCCCCAAAACTCTAAAAACTCAAAGCAGCACTATTCCAGAGGTCAGGCCGAAGAAAGAAGGTTGAGATATTTCCTGTCCCTTGAAGGCTGAGTGCAGTATAATAAAAAGAAAAAGACAAATGCCGGGAGCTGTGCCCTAGGACTTTGGGAGGCCAAGGCAGGTGGATTGCCTGAGCTCACAAGTTCAAGACCAGTCTAAGCCAGAGTGAGACCTTGTCTCTAAAAAATAGCTGGGTGTCGTGCCAGGTGCAGCCCAAGAATCTGAGGTTGCTGTGAGCTGTGACACCACAGCACTTTACTGACTCAGACTCAAAAAAAGAGAAGAGGAGAGGGAGAGGAGAGGGAGAAGAGAGAAGAGAGGAGAGAAGACAAAGGGCTTTGGAATAACTTAGACTCGGATTCAAATTCAGTTCCAGCCATATAACTGTAAGCAGATCAACTCTCTAATTCTTGATTTTCTCACCTATAAAACAAAGATAATAATTTGCAGGACCCAGCCCAATGCCTGGCTTTTTATAGCAGGTATTCAAAACAGGATGGTTTCTGCCTGCTACCTATTTTATTTCAATTATTTTTTTTTAGTTTTTTATTTTATTTTATTTTTTGTTGTTGCAATTTTAGCTGGGGCCGGGTTCGAACATGCCACCCTTGGTATATGGGACCAGTGTCCTAATCCCTTAGCCATAGGCACCACCCCTATTTCAATCATTTTGATGGAACAAACTATTCTGCTTCCAAGCTGGCAGGGGCAGGTTGGCCAATACCAAGGGATTCTAAGATGTGGTCACACAGAATGGCCATGGTAATTCAGTGCTGGAGTGCTAAGCTGCCTCTAGGCACTCCTTTGTTCATTTATTCAGCAAAAATGTACACATATCTGCTATGCCTGACCCCTTCTGGGGCACTCAAGGAAGAGAGGTTCTTACTTTCTAGAATCTAAGCCAGGCAGGATTCTTTTCTCTTTCCTCCCTTCTTCTTCCCGTTTTTATATTTGTGTGTGTGTGTGTATTTTTAAAATCCCATTTACTGGTTCAGCACCTGTAACTCAGTGGTTATGGCGCCAGTCACATACACCAGAGCTGGCCCTGGCCTGCTAAACAACAATGACAATTACAACCACAAAATAGTTGAGCATTGTGGCAGGCGTCTGTCGTCCCAGCTACTTGCGAGGCTGAGGCAAGAGAATTGCTTAAGCCCAAGAGTTTAAGGTTGCTATGAGCTGTGACACCATGGCACTCTACTGAGGGTGACAAAGTAAGACTCTGTCTCAAAAAAAAAAAAAAAATCCTGTTTACTACTTTATTCATAGATGATTCTGTTTTAAAATATGCTCATATTGCTAAGTATACAATAACTCCTTGTTTTTAACTGATATACATATATATATGTATGCTCATATTACTAAGTATACAATAACTCCTTGTTTTTAATTGCCATATAATTCCCTGTGGCAGGTATCTACCATATTTTTCTCTTTGCCCTCCAGGAATACCTGCCCAGGTAGCCCAATATCTCTCAACTACCAAAAACAATTCTCAAGGAACATCCTCCTTCATGTTCCCTTTTGGATCTATGTGAGCATTTCCCAAGGGCATGTACTAAGCTCACTGAGTCCTAGGGTATGCACATGCTTGACTGAATAGTGCCACAGTCCTCTCCTAGAGAGCTGCTCCATC